GAGAATGATATTTGGTGCTTTAAGCTTGAAGATTGGAGGCTTGTATTAGGAAGCTTGGGGGAGATCAGGAATCTACAGTTGGTTGGGCTCATTCTAGGGGGTAAGGAACCATTTCCTTAAGCTATTTTCTTCATGGGTTCATGTGTGGTGCTTGATATGACATCTAAATTGAGATAGAAGCTTGGATCTGAGGATGCTACTTCATATCTAGGTTTGGAATGGTCTTATATGTCATAAAGTCCCTGTTGATGAGTGATTGGTGAAGCTACCTTGTCCCAAACCCTAGCCCTAGAGAGTAAATGTCTAGATCTCCTTGGATTCATGTAAAGATTGCCACTTTACGTGATGGATGGCTTGTAAAATAGTAGATCTATGGTTTAGAGCTTCTGCATGGCTTGGAAAGCCTCTGTATGGATTCAGATCTAGGAGTACTCGGCGAGTCACAAGGGTGTACTCGGCGAGTAGCTTGAAGATAGGCTGGAACTCGACGAGTTGGAAGAACAACTCGGCGAGTTGGATGAAGATGGCCTGGAACTCGGCGAGTTGGAAGAACAACTCGGCGAGTAGGTTGAAGATAGTCGTAGACTCGACGAGTCTGGTTGTGGGGTTCACGTTTCTTTTGGGAAGGCTGTGACTCGGTGAGTCAAGGGATGACTCGGCGAGTTAAGTCGCGAATTAAAGGAGGTTCTGTGTATGGGGACTCGGCGAGTCATCGGGTTGACTAGGCGAGTAGAGTCAGTCAGGGGTAGACTTTGACTTTGACTTTGACCAAGGGTTGACCAGTTGACTTCCAGGGGTAATTTGGTAATTATTGGTATTTATTGGTTTCAGTCTTTTGGGTATTAACAGTATTGGAGTTCGGGTCGGAGATTTCAGCAGAGTGATCTTACCCTTTCAGTTAGCAGTTGCGAGGTGAGTTATCCTCACTATATCACCAGGGTCTAAGGCACCAAGGCTGGCCCTTTATCGGATTGAGATCTGGGTATCTGTTGTTATGTTATTGCTTTGATATGTTTGCATCCGGGTAGTTAGGATGGTATTCGTTAGAGACCTGGTTAAGGTCGGTATCCTGGTAGATAGGATGATGCTATGCTAGTGATCGGTTAGGTCGGTATTCTGTTAGAGTATGTTGTGTTATGTGATCTACTAGATGGGTTTGACTGAATATGAATTATTATGTGATTGTATGTTTATGTGCACATGGTTGTTTGGACTGGAGTTGGGTTGAGGCGGGTCCTGCTTCGTGCTGTAGGCCAAGATACCCAGGGCGGACTAGTTGTTCCGAAGGCCCAGCGAGCGGTCCGGATAGGTTGTAGGCCCCTCAAGGGCAGACCAGACGTGCCGAGGCTCGGAGAGTGGACCAGGCCGACTGAAGGCCCGATGCGGGCGGACCAGTCATACTGTAGACTCAAAGAGTGTACCAGGTGGGTTGAAGGCCCGGTGCGGGCTGACCAACCACACTGCAGACTCGAGGGATATGACTAGACTCGGAGGGTGGACCAGGTGGACTGAAGGCCCGACACAGCGGACCAGTCCCACAACAGACCCGATATGCATGGCTGTTCTGCGATTCGTTATGATATAGCATGTTATGTGTATGGTATATGTAGTTGGTATTTTGGGGGTATCTCACTAAGCTTTCGGGCTTACAGTTGTGGTTTAATGTTTTTCAGGTTCTTCAGGAGACTGTGGCAAGGCGAATGCATGATCGTACCGCTCCTCGTGTTTATGTTTTTATGAATGGGATATGGGAATACTCTGATAATAAATGTAATGAAAACCTTTTTGTAATAACTTAATGAATTCGGATGTTTTTGAAAAGTTTAAATTTTATTGAAATTTTGGGTCGTTACAAGTTGGTATCAGAGCCTTGGTTTGAGTGAATTGGAGGAACACTTGTGTGACTTTAGTCTCAAATCGAGGAGGGTTTTCAAAAGAGAAATTAAAACAGTTTTCAAAATAAGTAAAGGAGTACGCGAACGTACTATCAGCCGGAGACAGTAAGTAACCCAAAGTACCATGCATGATATTTGTTTGATTGAGCTTTGATAGAACAACATGCTAGTGTTAGGCTAGGGATCTTCAGGATTTCATGATGTGTTGCCTGATTTATGATGCCTGTTAGCCTAGGGTTTTCCTTGAGAGAGATTACTAGTGTTCCTCTAGTGGTGAGGGTAGAGCGTTGTTGTGCATGTTTTCACTAGGGTGTTGTGGTAGTACTTCATACAAATATGGGTAGGTGTGGAAGGTAGTATGGGCCCGTACTACTGAAAGCACAGGACCCATACGCGTATCAGGGAAACCATGACCTATAGGGTCGGGTTGAGAGTTGGTTCCCGGGATATTGGGAAGTGTCTGAGATTTTGGTGGTTTATTTTTAGTATGGAAATTTCAGGGCATGCTGGGAGTGGATCCGGGTCAGGATCGGGAGCAGGAGAGGGAGTTGCGGGCGGGTCCGTACCGCCTGAGGTTGTTGGTCAGATGAGCACAGGCGATTTGGATGCGAGGATTCGTGAGATCCTGCATGATGAGGTTGCTGCGTTGTTCCGGGCCGAGCTGCCAGATCTGTTTGGGTCGATCAAGACCGCCATGGTGGAGTATTTTGATGAGCGCTATGCGGCTCTCACTGAGACGGCTGCCGCGGCGGCTACAACGGCTGTAGCAGCGGTAGGGGGAGGAGCTAGTAGAGGTTTTCAGTATTGGGACTTCGATAATACGAAGCCTCCCACCTTTGATGGAGTTCAGGATCCGATCGTTGCTATGAGATGGTTATCAGACGTGGAGGGGTGTTTCTTCACGTGTTCATGCCCTGTTGATCAGAGGGTGAGGTGTGCTCTGAACCCGTTAAGGCTCGGGGCAAAGGATTGGTGTAGATTGACCACGGTGTCATATTCGGATGCGCAGAGGGCTGCGATTTCATGGGATCAGTTCAGAGAGATGTTCAGCACTCGTTATGTTCCGCAGGTTGAGAGGGAAAGGTTGGCTCAGGAGTTCCTTGAGCTGAAGCATGATTCGGAGTCGGTGACGGAAATCACCAGGATGTTTACTGAGAGGGAGATGTTTTGCCCTGA